TGGGCCCAAAATCAGAAGTATATCCGCCTGGGTTGATTTTGGGCCTAACTGCTGCTATGGATTAATATGGGCTTTAGCCCAAACCTGCCCTATTTTCTAATAAAAGCTTGCTGCAATAAAATTTTGGTCCTTTGGCCCATTTCTGCTGATGAAATATTGTGTATACACCAAGTGTATATGAGCTGTATTAGCCCAACATAATGCAAGGAGGAGAGTCCATGAATGGACTCAAGTATAATGTACAAAAAAGAAAGGAGTAATGAATTAATATTAACTCAAAATTGCATAAAAAAAAGGTATTCACATTTCTTTATATTGATTTATTTTGTTCTTTTTTACCAAACAAAATACCATATATGAATTCAATAAAGATGGAAGCCATTAAATGAGAAGCCATAGATGGAACAAACCAATTTTGTGCAAGGAGAGAAATCATCAATCCCGTTGTGTAAATCAGTATTGCTTAAATATAATACACAGATTAGATGCAACCCTCCATCCCAGTGCAGATGGGTGGGAGGAATGCATAGAGAGTACCTAAACCTTTATTTGATGCACCAAAGTCAGCCTTATTTATGCAACCTTTATTATCAAGTAAACTGATTCTCAGGATATCTTCCGATGCATTGTTCACTATTAGAACCTCCTATCACTCCAAATTTTAATGTTCATTTAGAAGTCACGTGGCAATTCAACTCCCAGGAGTAACAAGGCAATAAAAGGGTTTAAAAGATGAAAGAGCCGCAAACATCATAACAACCACAATTGATGCATCTGACAATGGAGAACACATCTATAAGTCAAGTTTATTAGCTCTTCTGTGTCGAAAAAAAACAAGTCAGAAGGAATGGTCGTAAAATAAACTGGAACAGTAATCAACTTGCAGCTTTTAAATTTATGGAGACAGCTCATGTGATTCCTGGATCACACTGAGGCAATTGATTGATTCTTATAGGCTTCAGACCACTAAAACGCACCTTCATGACCCGACACCCAAGATAGATAGCAGTAACTTACCTTGAATGCAAACGGATCAACATTATCTTACAGATAGTCTCCAGTGATGAAAAGTTTGAGATGCCATGAGTGTCACTTGAAGTTGTTCGGTACGAGCTTCCATCAATCCTTGGAAATTTTGAGCATCTTGTACAAATCCACCAGTTATAGGTGACCATATAATCCTCTCGAATTCTTCTAACTACTCCTGTTTTGCCTCCAAAACTCCAAGAGCTTGAATAGCCTTTTTCTCAACATTAGCTCTTGCATACATGTCACATAGGCTAATATGAACCTTAAATGGAGGAGCCTCACCCTGCTCAGCAATTTTATCCAAGAGCTGTTCAGCTTCATCAATTAGTTGCATTTTACCCAACTAATCCACCAAAACCGAATAAGTAGCCACACCAGGCTCAAAGCCATCTTTCTCAAGCTCCATTAAAAGATTTAAGGCTTTATCCAGCAGGTTCTTCTTCTCATAAGCTACTATCATGCTAGCAGTGCATCTATCATCTGGCTTGTGTCCAAGTTTAATCATGTAATCGAAATTATACCTTGCCTGATCAGGGTCACCAGCTTTTCCAAATGCCTCAACAAGTACCGTACATGACTCTAAAAGGGCTGAAATTCTGAAAATTGCATTTTAGTTGCTATTCTTTTCTTTTTTTTTTGAAACTGGCAAGGTTGTATTCTTCAGCATTAAGGGCATGCCGGCCACCACCAAAAAGTGTCAATTACAAACTTCCTAACAAATCTACAATCTAATATGTGTCTACTATACACAACTGTTTACACCAAAAAAGTAGAGATACTATACAATTCCATTTGACCTTGTGTATGGAATTGGATCTATTTTCGAAGCATCTACTATTCCTTTCCTTCCAAACTGACCACCATATACATGATGGTATTAACCTCCACCATTTCTTCTGACTCTTGGTGCCTCCTCTCCTTACCCAGCTCTTCAACACGTTTGATGTACGTTCTGGCATTGTCCAATTCAGATTTGAAATGCTAAGGAACAAATTCCAGATTTGAGCAGTGTAATTACAATGCAAGAAAAGGTGGCTGTTAGTTTCACTTGTCAAATTGCATAAAAAACACCTAGGGACCAGCTGTCTACCCTTCTTCTGAAGTACTTCCTGTGTTAGACAAGCTCTCTTTATCACTAGCCAAGTGAAGCATTTCACTTTTGTAGGGATATCCCCCTTCCAAAAATAGTTCCAGAGGTGTTTTGGTCTCCCTGCCATCACCTGGAGACCTCTTCTGTAAGCACTGTTGACTGAGAAAAGGCCATCTTTGCTGTGCTTCCACAACATCCTGTCTGTGCATTTTAGTTGCTATTCTTTGGGCTCCATTAACATCACCATGCTGAACAAATGACCTTAGGAGGGCCATAAAGATCTCCTTAGAGGGTTTGATGTCTCTTGCCTCCATTTCCCTCATCAATGATTCACCTTTCTTTGGGTCTCCAGCATTTACATAGGCTAGGATCATGAAATTGTAAACCCCCATGTCTGGTAGGAATCCTTGAGTTCTCAAGCTCTCAAATGCAGCGTTTGCTCGATCCAGATCACCTGCTTTGCTGTACATGTGAACCATGGTTGTTGATGTGAGAATATCAAGTACAATTTCATTTTCACTCATCTTTTTGACAATTCTCTTGGCATCTTCTAGCCGGTTATCTCTAGCATGGGCATCAATGAGTTTTGAGTAGTCACGTATGTTTGTTTCGAAGGACTCTTCACCAAGCACATTTACTGCAATCTTATATGTTTACTAAAAGTCAGAGTTAGCCAATACTTAACTTCTTAAATTCAGATTTTCTTTTATAGGTAGAAACTTAAATTCAGATTTGTCATAACATTTTGTTACATTATAGAACAGTTGGTGAAGGATTTCTATACAGGTAAAAGTTATAATTTCACTAACATTTCTTGTAAGCATTTCACTAACCAATCTAACTCTATGTTTAAGATTATATGTCCAACATGTAATAAAGACTTACCATTTCAAAGTTAAAAAGCAACAATAATTCGAAAACACTTAAACTGGAGAAGTCTTGGAATACCTTCAAATATAGACTAGCATTTTGTTTCTTCAATCTATCAAGTAAATTTATCCAGTCTACTCTGCTAGGTTGGAGAAGTTGTACCCATTCTGCTATAAGTGTAAAAGAATCATCTTTCTCCTGCGAAGAAAGGATTTTGTCAGTAATAATTTTGCACTTTCCATCTATTCGTTTTGGTTCTTGAGGCCATATGATTTTCTCAGCCTCGTGAATCTTATCAGCCACTTGAGACCATTTCGAATCAGACAAATCAAGTCCATAAATCTTGTAGTTAATTTCCGCACGCCTTTTTGGAAGAGCCACTACTTTAGGCTCCTCAGCACCACTGTCCCGCTCACTCCCTATTTCGTCTTCCTTAAAACGACGTTAAGGACTCTGATAAAACTCAGTCTCCTCCATCTTCTCCCGTGCCCATCTAAACCTATACTCCCTAAGCATCTCTCCACATATACCCACTTCACCAGCAAACCTACACATCTCCTTGACTTCCTTGGCTTAAAGAAAGTTGTTCATTTTCTCCTTTTTCTTAGCTTTCTCCATATCTTCCAACAACCCATTGCTCACCTCCCACACTGTCTTCCACAAATCCTCACTAAAATCACTAGAAGCTAAGGACGATCCCCGCACTATCTGCTGATCGAAACCACCCTAGTCACATCTGAGCTAATTATAACTAAGTCATCCGCTTATATTATACCAAGCAAGACCCTTTTGCAGTTAGACAACCTTCCCAACAATAACCAAAAGCATCTCATGAATTGTATTTTTTTCAAAATCTGGACATATTTCCATAAGCTTTCCACGCATTACCAAAACGAATCTTGACAAAAACTCATTCATTGCGGCTGATGACTTACTTACCATTCCTTGATCTATGTGCTTGGTTTTGATGATCTATGTGTTTAGAAGGCACATTTTTGTCAAGTAGAAGTGTCTAACTTGGTTACTCTATAAGTTTATAAGGCTATCTCACTAAATGTGTCAAGTTTAAGGGGCTATCTAGATATTTAGCCTTTTATGTACAATGTATTTTGCCTCTACTTAATGGGAAGAGGAAGAAGTTCAGGTCATAATTTGGCCTTTCATGCAAATATGCTAGAGCAACTATACGAAGCACATATTCATATCCTGACTCAATTTTATATTACCCAATTCGACTTTCAAGAACACAAATTCAATGTTAAAATACAGAACACAATTTAAAACTGTCAAAATTAAAAGAACATATATAAAAAGAAATTGAACAAAACCCCACCAAATTTCATTCTCAAGCAAAAGAGAGAATAGGAAACTCATAACAGCACGCCTTCATCTTCCAGACCATATTCTCTTATGTGGAAGGGTGACGCAAAAGGGAAATTCACAGTCAGCGCCCATTATAAACATCAAAGTGACTTACCTGACAGCATCTCCTTTTGGCCATGAATTGTATCTGGGGAAACAAAGCACCTTTAAAGTTGGAATGCTTCAGTCGGTTGGTTTCTCATGCAGCATGTTAGACAAATAATTGTAAGCATAACCAGTTTCTCAATACAAATAATAGCTTTTGGTCCAGAATGAATGGGTGCTTGAGCATTGAGTGCCAGCCTGCGCCAGGCTATTGCAAATAAATCTTCAACTTGTTACTTTTTTGTTTGTGTGTGTAACATGGCTATTGCAAATGATACAGAATTTTGGGCTCTTTTCAATTGCAGCAGTGCTCCCTATATATATAGAGAGAGAGAGCACTTTCTTTTCAATGAAATACCTTTAACAATCAAAAATAGAAAGTACAATAAAGGTATAGCTTACCCTATTGGAATTTCAAGAACCCAAACTCTCAAGAAATTCTAAGGAATAATTTTAGTTACCCAGCATTAACCAAAAGCAAAATTGTATTTAAAAGGGACCAAGGGGTTCACACCCCAGTACAATATAAGCACAAAACATAAAATACACAAACCCAATTTCTCCATTCAACTGAAATTGTCAACTAATTCAATGTCCCCAAACATAAAATTCAACAGGATAAAAAAGAGAAAGGACCGAAAAAACGAAGTAAATGCTATTGCTTTTTTAAGCCTCATGGGTTGCTTCTGATTTGCTAGCCGATAAATCCAGTACACCTACACCAATTTCATCATATGAATCAAACATTATACCCTCTACCATGTTCATAATTGCTGCAGAAACAGAAATTGAAAAAGAATAAGAAAGTACCAAAGCGAGGACATGGGCACCAATAAGTATGACTACTAGAAGAGGTACTGCTTCAAGACGAATCTGATTCGCCATTTTCCAAAGTGAAGTGAATCTCTGATTTTCCCAATTTTTACCAAATGCCTCCTATGTTTTGCTTCTCCTCCGCTCACACTTCTATTTAGTTCAAATCAAAAGTGTGCCTCTTGCCCTCTACTATGTTCCATTTTATGTATTTTAGTCAAAGGAGAGCTTTAATTTGGTACACTATTTACTCTTTTTTAATTAAAATTAAATATAAGTAAATGTTTTTTATAATATATATATATGCCTCAAATTTATGATGTTTTTTTTAAAAAATAATTAATGATGTAATATAATTTTTAAATCTTGACTCAAGCTCAATTATTAAGAATATATACGGAAAAAAATACTAGTGATCTAGCTAGCTCGATTGTAGAACATTAATTGACTAAGTTAGATTGAATTCAATCTAATTGAATATGTATAATTTAATTAGATTCGATAAATATTTAGATTTAATGTTTAATAGAGTTTAATTTAGATTCTATGTTTTAACTTGACATTCCCAATTACTAGTACAAACACATTTTTGAATAAAAATCAATTTAATCATAAAACTTTATCATTTTAATAAAATAGCCTTTTATTTTATTTAAAAATCATAATGAAAATTCTAAATATAAAACTTGAAGAGTTATGCTTTCCAATTCTATTTTTCATAAATTTCAAATAGGATATAATTGTTCTATGGTAAGTAGTTTAGAGATTGTAATATTGTTTTTCCGCAGCACAATTGCAATTTGCAAGTGTACATTTTCAGTTGCTGACTCTCACTGTGAGCCACGTATGCGGAACGTGGCACATTCTTAGGTCCCCTAAGCTATAGCAAAGAAAACAGCGAAAGAAGCACCGTTGGCACCTTCAATCGCTACGCCTGAATTCAGTTTTCTCAGAGGCATATTGTCAAACACTTTATATGCACAGGACATACATCGCTGGGCAAGGTTATGTGAACACTCAAAATTGCCGATGAGGAGTACCATTTCATGCCTTAACCGACGGCGTCTTGCAGTCCTGTCCCCAAGTAATTTGCCATTTTTATTAATACTTCTTCACCGAATTAGCTGCGTAATTTTATTTTATATGAAACTGCTCCTTCATTCAGAATATTGTTTGCTTATTATATAGTGCTAATCATACCTAGATATCTGAATTGTGTGCGTTTAGGCACTGTAATCTCACCTAAACTTCACTGTAACCTTTAGTTTCCAGAAGTTAGAGTGCTTCTCCAAAGTACACTCTCACTGGTTTCGTCAAATATAACAGTGTATGTTAGTTTTTCTGTAATTAAGGGCTGCCGATTCCTGGTGTAAATTATGTAAATTTCGCTATCCTTGTTTGCTATCTAGAGAAAGAGAGAGCGAAAATCCTATGTGGAATTTACTCTTCATGGTTTAATTTAGGCATAATACATAAATAGATGCTGAAATTTGGCCTCAGTGGGTAAGCACTCAAACTTTGAGAGTGCGCATCTAGATAGCTCAATTCATTTCCATTGTTTTTGTTGAACACTCCAACTTTCCAAATGATCATCTAAACACCTCTGAAATTGTGTCCAGAGACTAAGTGGTGACGAGTTGGAGTGTTTGGTTTTATGTTGAGTCCATCTGTAGCAAGGTGTCTGGATATGCACTCTTAAAGTTGAAGTGTTTACTTGCTAGCTGAGGTTAAGTTTGAGTGTATGTTTATGTATTATCCCTTTAGTTTATTACTTTCAAGTTTTAACATATTATATATGGGACCCTTTTGAATTCACTCACTTTATTGGATTTCTATCTCCTCCCCTAGAACCAGCCTCTTGCTTGTGAAATATTAATTGTTGTAGCTGTCACCTTTTTGAGCGTTGCTCATATTTTCTCGCTGTAGCTGTCATTACCCTCTGCTTATTACTTATCACTCAACTTGTTCAACTAATAACAAAAAATTAAGTGGTTCTTTTCCACCTCTGACTTCTTTTCAGCTCTGCGTTTTGGCTGCTCATTTGAGACTTCTTGGTGCGAATACTCATCCAGTAGGTTTCCTGAGGTTATTCCAGCTGGAAACCATGGCAATTTTGTGTCAACCCCAAAATAGTAAGTGAATGAATATTGTTCTCCTCACTCTCTTGATTTGTGACTGATTACTGAACCAGTTCAATGTTGCTTCCGAAACGCCCTTGTACTTCTCTTGTGCATTATTGATCAATTTATTGGCTTCACCACCCTCATTTTTATTTTGTTGTCTAACATTTGTGCATACATTCTGTAGTGGAATATTTTCTTCCCAAGGAATTAATGAGTTAATGCGCATTTGGTGCAGCTTTTCTACTGGTTTTTCCAGTGTGCATGGAGAAAGGCCAACTGCTGAGTATGCTAGGTTGAGGAAGGAATCACTAGAAAGCGAATTTGGACATGCACTTACTTATAAGTCGAAAAGCCTTTCATCATTATATCGTTTTGGCCCATTCATGGCTTTGTACAGAGCAGCCATTATTTCATTCTATGTGTTGAAGCTAACTGTTTGGCGCTTATTTGTCCATGACTTAAGAAGACGTGCTGTTAAGGTATATTCAGTTCTCCAATGAAGTTCTATCTGAAAGGTTTGATTTTTCACTGTAGGTGTTCTATTGACATATTGACAGATGACAGTGTGCTGTCTATTTGGTCTATTGCATACAATGGATCAGATACTTTTCACTGTAGTGTTTTATAGGCATTTTGACAGAATAGCAAGAATGGATCAGAAAATGGATTTTTCAGCTTCAGAGCATGAAAGCTGTGAAATGACTTCCATTATTTGTTCAGTGTTTTCTAGCATCTTGCTATGATAAAATGGAAAAGTTGAGGAAAGGAAAACCTCTAATTCTTCTTTTGTTAGGAGTACTGGAACTAACTTCATATCCTTTAACCATACTACTTTATTTATCTCAAGTAACAGTTAGTGTGCCTCGAAACACCCTTTCCTTATTGATGTGACAGAAAAATAAAGAAATAGAGAAGGCGAAAATGGGCAACACTGTATTTGAATGTAGTTCTTTGATACTATATCTTTTAAATTTACTCGGAACACCTTCATTTAGGTATTTACTTATTATAGTGATTTGAATGGGAACTTTCCAATGCATTTTTGTCAAGCAATCACCTGTTGCTGACTTAGGTATTAAGATATGCTTTCCTGCAGTTGTTCTGAGCTTGTTGACACCTATACATCTGTGAATCGTACAATTGCTGCTCCTTAAAGAGTCCGGCTGTTAAAAAATACGGTTTCAAGTGCCTTGCACTTTGTGTTGGATGAGGATGGTGTGTCTTGGTTTGATAGTTAATTTTGTGGTTCTACTCATAGCTTACTTTGCCCCACTCATAAGTCATATTTCATCTAACGTGTATTTTCAAATAATTCACTAGATTGGTTTTTAGATTTTATTAAGACAGTGGCTTTCTTGTTTTGGGTTTTATTTGTTCTTTACTGTTGTTTATGGTTCCATCTATTACTGAATTTCAAGTGATTAACTGGTTATCCACGCAGGCCTTAACAATGAGTTTACTTCTTTTATTTGCAGTTCCGTGAAACTCTTATCGACTTGGGTCCTTTCTACATAAAGGCAAGTTACACTATCTGTTAAGACCATCTTATCCTCTTATGTTGGTGGGAAAACATCATTATTATTTGTAAAAGTATTCATATCTGTCTGCTGTGGTGTAGTCTATTACCACTTCTGTTCTTGGTGCTGTTTTTACGAGGGGTGAGGATACTGCTTCAATAGGCTTACAACTAATTTCATAGGAGAATGTACATGATGGTGTGCCTCATCATCATTACATGGAAGGAGCATAAATTGTTGGGTGAAGTCTGCCACTGCCGAGAGGCAAGGCTCACCACTCTGTTCCATTCTGAATTTGCATTTCAGATTGTGGCATACATTGACACACCAATATAGAAGATGTTTAAGCTCAGACTACAGGCATGACTGGAGACCTCAAAGAAACATGTTATTCAGAATCTATTTTCCCTATTATATATAGATAATACTAGATAGGAAACACTGGTTTTTATGCAAAAGCTTTTGACCACCAGAAGTGCTCGTATTTAAACTTAGCAGGTTTCTTTACTTTCTATAGCTAATAGATTAGTACATTTAATTTCACGCACTGAATTTGATTGTCAAGCAGCATCTACATCCTAAACTAATGGAGGAAATTTCATTCTTACATGCTCCTTTAAGTCAAGATGATGTATTTTGAATTCCGGTTACCTGTACATAGGAGTAAACCAGAGGCTTCTGCCTGTTCTTTTGGAAATGTTGATATTAATTCAAATATGAAAGAATTTTAGTAGACTGGGAGAGGTTTATTGAGTTATTCTGCTCTAACCAAGGTAATATGTGTAGCCTGGACTTAAGTATTTTTTTATTTAATTAGACTATGCTCAAAAATTGTCTGCCCTGCTTTACTGATCAACCGAGGGGTGGGGTAGGGTGGAGAATCAGCTTACAAATCCGGTCGTGTAACCTAGCCAGCACTCTAGAAACTCATTCAATCACAGAGTTCAATTGCCTTACCTTGAAAATACTATTCACAAACGTGTGGGTTAGGAGAAGAGTGGACAAAGATGAAATTTATTTAGAGAATAACTAAACTTGGTTCCTTACTAGGTATTTTGTGCAAATAATGCTTTTATATCTTCCTTATTGGCAGAGGAATGGTGCAAAACAGGAATTGAGAAGGAGGTGTAGGTGGCACTAATTACGTGTATATATAGTGCAAAGAGTGCATTTACTGCTTCCTTGTTGGCAAAAGAATGGTTAAGATATTATATGTAGATGGGACTCGTCGTTTTTTTTTTTTTTTTTTTGAGAAGGTATCTTTTTTTATGTAACTATTTGCTGCATAAAAACTGCACCTGCCCATATTTACAAGGGAATATAGGAAGATGTACTAAGCTATAACCTACTTACAGAGATCCTAGTACGCCAGCAGAAAGATTCTATGTCTTCCATACATGCATGTTTACACCCAAAAAAAGGAAAGGGCTAGGCACTTCATCTTCAGTTTCTGGATAGAGCTATAATTGTCTTCAAAACACCTTTGATTTCTCTCTTTCCAAACTGTCCACCAAATGCAAGCAGGGACAATCTTCCATCTTTCTTTCTGTTCTGAGTGAGTGCTATATTCGTTCCAGAACTTCAAGTGTATCTCTTGGCATCACTCACATGATCCCTTTTGAATTAAGGAAAATCATCCAAAGTTGTTCAGTTACTTGCAATGTAAAAAAAGATGGTTGATTGTCTCTGTTCTTCTCCTCACAATTGGTTTTGTTTAGGACGGGATTGAAAATTTATACTTGCATCTATTTTCTTTATGTACTCAAATGATTTTTTTGGGTGGGGTGGGGTGGGGGTGGGATGGGGTGAGTTGAGGTCTTCTTTGATATATCTATGAAATGGCAAGAGAATGTATTTGATCAGTGATGCCACTTCATCAGTATGATAGATAGAACACCATTATCGAAGAAAATATTCTGCTGATGTGATATTCTTCTTGTTTATTGACTACATATAGTCATCTGTGATATCAATTCTATGTGGTTAAATGGGCCAAAGAGCCCTTGTAATTTCAGATTGCTTACATGGTGCATCAGCCCTGGGTTCCAACAGGAGCTTGTAACTTGTCTCCAGCAGGGAAAAAGGTCTTATGGTTAATTCTGCAATTGTTTGAATAACAGCTGGGACAAGCTTTAAGTACAAGGCCGGACATATTACCAAAAGTGTATTGTCAAGAACTTGCAAAGTTACAGGTAAACTTAATACTTCAGTGCTGCTACTAGGGTCATATCCCAACTTACCATTACATTTCTTTTTTGCTGGTTTGTCCCAAGCATGTCTTATCTTTTAATATTTTATTACAAAAAGATATCGTGGACCTCAAACTTTCATTCAAAAGGAAGTTCAAATTCTTAAAATGGCTGATTTGTATCTCCAACTTCTGGCCTTCTATTCTACAAGTACCTTCCAGCCCTATTGCTTACTAAAAATGGGAGGAAAGAAGTGTTGTATTCTTGAAAGCTGGATAAGATCTCTCAACATAATGTATTATCCTTTAATTTGTACTTCACATCTTGCCAGGATCAAATCCCCCCATTTCCAACTCATCTTGCAAGAAGATCTATTGAGTCCCAGTTGGGTGTTCGCGTTTCACAAGTATTTGCTGACATTAGCAAGGAGCCAATTGCTGCAGCATCTCTTGGCCAAGTATATAAAGGTTAGAGCTTGAATTTTTTGGTGTTTCTCTGCTTTTGTCGTTGATTAGGTCTCTAACTACTAGTTCTATGGTGTTTCATTACTTCTCACTTTCTTCCTTTTCCTAACCTTTTACCTTATCTTCCGGAAGGAACCTTCTATATCCAACCCCATGTGGAATCTTCCCTAAGAGTGGTTGTAGAGACAAAAACTGGTCATTCTGTTGATCCAAGATATGGTTCACTTTTTCTGACATTTCTAGCACCAACTAATTCATTCTGGTGATACATCTTACGATGTCATGATGCATTCATTCCTATAATACTTCTGGCTCTTGGGTGTCTCTTTGTAGGTTAATTCGTTTTGAAGATAAATCTACTAGGGGAACGTAACTGGTTTTGGAAGAGTGAGTGCCTTGCTCAAGGGGTACTCAAGCTTTTAATGTTTCTTCTTGGCTTCAAGTTTTGCAGCTCATTTGCATTCTGGAGAGCTGGTGGCTGTTAAGGTCCAGAGGCCTCATATGTCACATTTACTGACACTGGACGCTATGTTATTTCATATGATTGGTGGCCAACTAAAAAGATTTGCAAAAGCTCGTAAGGATCTGTTGGTAGCTGTCAATGAGATGGTGAGATTCCAAATTTCCATCTTATGTTTCTGTACTTCGGAAGATGATATCTGGAACACAATGCGTGTGAATGTGATGGGTTATACATCAAGACTGTCTTTATCTCAAGGAGTATATTACTAGTCTATTGCTAGTTCTTTGGAATGATTATGAGGTGAATTCTGATTCAGCTAATGCATGTATAGTCAAATTTACAAGGTGCACTTGGCAGAGCTGAATAAAACGGCTGCAACAGTTAACAGATCAAATCCTTGATTAGAAACTGAACAACTCAACCAATAGCTATCAAGGCAGATGAAAATATCTCGAATTTACTCTAAAGATGACACTATCAATTGGCCACTAGTTCTTAACATATTCTTTTGTTAAGAGATTAAATCAAAGAAAACCCGCAAAGTTGTATTTTAGTAATTGCTTTTAGCTCATCCTATGTCTCATTTCCTAATTGGTTCATTATCCTCTTATTTCCCCATTTTCTGTAAATATGAGAGAAGTTGAACTTCTTTTAAATAGTTGTCTATTATATACTTGCTAACCCCAGGGGTTTTGCTTGAATGGATAGGTGAGACACATGTTCGAAGAAATTGACTACATCCTGGAAGCACAAAATGCCGAAAGATTCGCATCTCTTTATGCATGTAGTAGTAAGTGTCTTCCAGACATTGCTTTAGTGGTTATGGTATTATGGAATAACTTTTTTCCCTTTCATTTTTTGGAACTAGTCAGTACAAATGTAGATTGAATGTCATGGAATATATTTGGGTCGTGACAGGATAATGTTGAGGTGGGGGGGGGGGGGGTTATTTTTTAGCTTTTTCCAGTAGGTTAGGGGTATTCTTGAGCCAAAAAAAAATATAGGTTGGGGTATTTTTAGACCAAAAGGTGGAAGAAGGGTATTTATGAACCTTTTCCCATATGTGAGGGGTATTTATGAGCCTTTTCTTTTTATTAATATGTAGTCTAGTCTAAGCATTTTGAGGTTAACCTGTATCCTTATCATTGTTTAGATTAGATTTTATTTTGTTATATATGTTTTTATCTTCTCGTCGTCACTTCAGTTTCAATAGTTTGAGAATCTAGCTTGGTCTTGGTTCCCTCACTGTAATTGGGGGTTCTTTTGCACTTTATTTGAACATACTCTATTTGATGAGTAAGACTCCGTGAATGGCCTCTCTCTATATACTCTTGTAATCTCTCTCATCTCTCCCATTATTGTCTGTTCTTTTCCCTTTTCTATCATCTCCCATCTCCCTTCTCCCTTCCGACAATGTGTCACTAGGTTGTAGAGCACAGTGATCTAAAACCAATATTTTGGCAACCTTAAAATAAGTGAACTTTAATGCACGTGAACTTTTTTTGAGTGCTCAGTAAATATTTCCTTAACCTTGTTCATTTCAATTTACGCTAACTTAGCTTTTACTTACAGGTAAAGAGAAAACTGTCCCAGGGAGTGCAGTAACTGATAATGTCGGGTGTCAGAAAACTGTTGGTATCAAGGTCCCTAAAATATACTGGAACTTTACCCGTAAGGAGGTGCTTACGATGGAGTGGATAGATGGGATTAAGCTGACAGATGAAAGTCGAATGAGGAAGGCAAACCTAAATAGGAGGAGACTTGTTGACCAGGTAAATAGCTGTCTTTTCTTACACAAAAAATACAAAATAAAAAGGAAGTTGTCTTTCTTAGTAGAGTTTATCTGCTCCTTTCTGTGCTATTCTTAAACTTTGTGAAATATCTTTTGTTTTATCAGGGGTTATACTGCTCATTGAGGCAGTTGCTTGAGGTGGGGTTTTTCCATGCTGATCCTCATCCTGGGAACCTAGTTGCTACTGAGGATGGATCTCTTGCCTATTTTGATTTTGGCATGATGGGAGACATTCCACGTCACTATCGTGTTGGACTTATTAAAGTGGTTAGCTCTAGTGATAAATTCTCATCATTCATGGTTGACTGACTGGTGTGTTGGAGTATTGAGATATAGTTTGGATGCATTTCATGTGGTCATCGTTTATTATCTGTTTGGGTTTATGTCGATCACCTTTAGTTCAAGTAGTATTGGCTAGCTTCATCAATTGTTTGCAGTTACTGACAGACATTGCTCTTTAGTTTTTTCTGAATGCTTTGAGATCCTGTTTTGTTGCATATCACCGTGTGTTGTGGTCCATCAATTCCTGTAGAATGTTTTCATAGAGTTCTGTGACCATTTCATCCAAGTTTAAATTGTTTGAGAGTGAGTGATTTCCTTTGTTTAAGGTGGGGCTGCAAGACGAGACCTATAGTTGCTCGTGTAGGTTTTTGTTACCACTGTTTTTGATTACTTGAGCTGTTTGGAATGAATATTTCTATTTACTTATGTTAGTTCTCTTTCTTCTACAATACCTTTTTTCAAAAAGCACTTTCTTGCAATACATTATAGACAAAGTCCTGATGAAATCATCCCTTGGGATTTTCTTGGGGACACCTGGATTGTAAGACTTCTTTTTGTTTTCTTCTTCATTCTTTTTGGAGTGGCCGAGCATTTACTCTGTGGATATTTCTTCTAGCTTGTTTCTATTTCTATTCTGTCTGAGCATCCCTCTTTGATTGAGATTTCTTTCTGAAGGGAAAGGAAGGGAAGGAGTTAATTAAATCTGTTGTTCTTGGTACGCTGAAACTGGTGGGATCACACAAAGAAATTCAGATGCATGAGCGTAGGTGATGTATAATAGTGAAGCAATCTTATTCCCATATGCTCGTATAGTTTCTATACTAGAATTCTGTGATAGAAAATGCTTTGCGCCTCTGAATATAAATCACAGATCTAGAGGCGTTGCAGCATTTTAATTTTATTCATCCTCTCAACATTTGCCTGTGCAACCAAACCTCCACTTTTCATTTCCCCTTTTATTGCTCTTTCCAGCCGATTCACCTATTTGTTACACTTATTTTCTGATCCATTAATACTCTTGTTATTATATCTTCTATCTTCTTTGGTGTGATGTTCTTTTTCATCATTTTCTTCCCCAACTTAACTTTGTCCTCTTGCCAGTAGTGATACCTTGTAAACCCTTGTTGCCTCCACTACGGGTATACTTGTCCATTCCAGACAAGAAGTAAGCTCTGCCCATTGCGTGCCTTAAATCCTATTTTAAGCCCCAAAAAAAGACACAAAATCAACCAACCTCTTTGTAAAAACACAGGGTTCTCCATACAATCACAGCTGAGCTCCACCACAATCTTTTAGCAGAAGGATGATGAAGTATGAATGTGTGATACTTGGCATCTGAATCTGTAGTACATGCTAAGTGCTAAGCTAATGTGTATGAGCTAAAGACCTTGTAATTAAAGCATAAACTCTGTGAAACTCTGATTTCTTGATTTCCAGAAAAAAGCACAAAAAATGAAAAAACATATTAATCTTTTAGAATGAGTTAAACGAGATAAAATAACTCTCCAAAGTCCAAAATCTTTTGTCAGATGATGTAGGCAGCATCAGATTTCGAGTATGATTTGAGAAGGAAGTGAGAGCATCAATTTCTTATTATTATTTAATTAAAAGTGAATAAATTTAGGATGATGAAAGTTGGCATGTATTGACTACTAAAGAGTCTCGAGTGACTAACATCAACCTTCACCTAATTAGTCATGATGTGAGAACTTCATTGAACTACAAAATTTTACACAAATGTCTATCAACTATTTGTTCCTATTGTTTCTTTGTGGAGATATGAGGTTTGTTACCAAAGGCTTTATTTTCTAGCTTTACACTTATTCATGATTCAAATCTGATTGGGATTTATTTTTATTTTTTTTGGCAGTTGCATTACATTTCTAAATCTAAAACTTTTCTGCTTATCCTCATATTCTCTGCTTCTGTTATCTCCTTGAACTTCATTGTTGAGTATATGGAATACTGCTTTAGGAAGAGGTCACATCTTCAATTCCAGTATTGGCATGCGCTTATAGACAGTTCCTTAAATTTGAAGCTTTGGTTCTTTAAGGCATTGCATATTTTAATGTCTACATGGATGGGGTCTTAAGTACTTATTGACCTATTGCACGTCCCAAAGTTGTATAGATGACTGCATTACAAAAGCAAGAAAGTGTTGGCATGCGTTTTAAACAATTTCTAAAATTGAAACTTTGGTTCTTTAAGGCATTGCATATTTTGATGTCTGCATGGATTGTCTAAGTATTCATTGATCTATTACATGTCCAGTGTTTCAACAGATGACTGCACTTCAGGATCTTTGCAATTATTATTTATTTATTTGCTTATTTATTTTTCACACATGGGGTTTGCTATTTTTAACGTAATTGGCTCTGTATGCATAAAGCTGGCAAGTATTTGTAATAAATTCATGTTTGGTAGTTGATAAGTGCTGTGCACTGCAGCTTGTTCACTTTGTTAATCGAGACTCTCTGGGTTTAGCAAATGACTTTCTTTCGCTGGGATTTCTACCTGATGGAGTAGACATTCAATCTGTTTCAGAAGCTTTGCGAACGTCCTTTGGTGATGGAACCAGACAATCCCAAGATTTCCAGGTTCTTAACCTGCTCCCCCTCTGTTCCTTTTTCTATTTATTTTTTTCCTAGTTTGAGAATGCTTCCCAATAAAGCTCATTCTCCCATTTATACATATAGGTATTACGGTAGAGCAATAGAGAAAGACCAAGCAGCGCAGTGCAATCTAGTTAATCTAGGGAATTTTTTTTTTGGATCTGAATAGAGCCCCCTTCCAAAAGAAAAAAAGCCACAAAGAGAGTCCTTTAAGCACTACGGAGTTGTTTGGCTTAAAGACAAGTTATCCAGGAATTAGTTATCTAGGGGTTGTGATAAATGGGTTATTCCTTGATGGATGTTTGCATTGACATATTTTAAAATAGTGTATAATGTATTAATATGTTTACTACTTAAACAAAATGGAAGTTTGTCTGGGTTGGTTTTGTCATTTTAGCTATTTTAAATTTTAATCTATGTATTACTAATACCTACATATCTATTCCATATTCTGTCCCCATAAAATAGTACGTAGATTCCCTCAAAAGTATTACTCATGGAGTTCAACTAATATCCACCGACAGGTAAAGTTTCTTTACACAATCAGGTTTACATTAAAGCCTATAATAGGTAAGTTCTTAAGTAATGATTTTTAATAAGAAAAATAGTAGTATAAGACAACTTAAATATACATTTATTCTACTGGATTTAGTTAGGATTATGGCCTTTAACTTTGTATTTTTATATAAGAGAAGAGTAGTACAGGGGTTGTACTGCAACCATATTTACAGAATCCTATGATCCTATGTCTATAATGAATCCAGAACTTCAATAATAGAGACAGGATCAGTAGACCAAATCTGGTCACACCAAAAACACAGAATTTAAGATACAATTCAACTTGATCTATACTATTCTCTATGTTCCCAAAACACCTAGCATTTCTTTCCCTCCAAATAGTCCACCATATGCTGGCTGGTATGATTCTCCATTTGCTTTTGCTTTTGGCATGTATCCCTACCTCTTCACGGCTTTGGAATGTCTGTGTGACCTTCCCTGATATACCTCTCAAATTTAAAAACAACCTCCATAATTGTCCTGTAAACTTTTGGTGCAAGAAGAGGTGTTTTACAGTTTCTGCCTACTCCCCACAAAGTAAACATCTAGGGCATAAGGTTATCCCCTCTTCATCAAGTCATCCGGAGCCATTTCATTCTGTGGGCCTTGTTGTGGTTTTTCAAGTTCTTTATACCCACTCCCCCATATCTCTTTTCCAGTTACCTCCTTCCATTCAACTAGGTTATACCTTCCTTTTCTTTATTCCCCTGCCATAGGAACTTCCTTCTGACTCTGTCCAATCTGTTTAAAATCCCTGCTGGGGTAGGAAACAGTGACATCATGTTAGTTGGAATGGCATCCAAGTTTGAACAGAGTTGATCAGTGTCCCTTCCATCTGGCCAATTTCCACTATCTCTTCTTTGTTTTTATCACTTCTGGTTTTATATTTCTTTGTTTCTTCAACACCATTAAAGCAAGCACCAGCATACGCCATTGAAGCAGTCATACTCACAATCATTTGTCGACCCATGATGGTGACGGTCTCTATGACAAGTGTGAGAACAGTGTAGGGATATAGAAGGATTTTCCGTAATTGTGGGTTTATATCAAGGATCTACAATGAGCCGGTACTTGTTTACCCTGGTCATGATATATGCACTTTGTAGAAAGTATTGCGTTTATTGATGAGACTAGTCGGAGTCAAAGTGAAGTTTGGACTTTGGAGATGCATTCTACAGATTAAGATGCAGATGCAACCGAAGTTTGGACTTTAGGATTAGTTGACGTAGGACAAAATACATAAAACTTGAATAATGTTGAGTTGAGATTAGATGAAATCCTTCCTTTGTGAAAGCGCAAAGAAAGATCACATTGCCAGTGACTGGTGGAAGGTGGCAGGTATCCCATGGAATTAGTCGAGGTGTGCGAAAGCTGGCCCGGACACCAGTTATCAAAAACAAAAGATCGCATTGCCAATGACTTGTAATTTGTATTTGTTCGTCAAGGAATTTTGCACTTGTTTGGAAGGATTATCATAGATCATTAGAGTTTCATTGATGGTACATTGTGGTGCTTAAATACAACAATTGAGATATTTAGATTCAATGTTATGGGAGAATAAGATGATACATAATGCATATGATTAACATAATATGTTTGAAATGGAAGAGTCAGCAGATGTGTGATGTGATTGAATCCTTATCAAAGTGAAAACCCGGTTCTATAGCGTTGTTGCAAGACTAACAATATCATTCATCCACGAAATTCACCTTCTAGAAGTGTTGCTTTAAAATGGATGTTTGCTTATGCAAACATTAGAAATGATAGCATCTTGCAGAAGGTGCAAGTAGCACACACACAGGATAAATTCAGTGAAGGATGCGAAGATGGTATAGTCTTGTTCTCTGTAGACCTCCATAGGGATCTGTTTGTATGTATGACTTCATAATAATTGGAGATGATGAAAGTGGACAAGCTAGACCTAAAATCACAAGTTGTATGAAAAGACCTTACCATCTCTCAGAATCAATGCCGACTTAATGTAAATGTAGAACACAATGGAAGCAAAAAGTTCATATAGACAGTAGGGTTTAGGCTGAGGTGTATTAGTACACTTGCACTAGACTCGGTATTTGCGGGGACACTTCGAAGTTTGTTTGGAGATATTGCCCATAGAAGAGAAAACTTCTAGTGTTGTAGAATCTTAGTATTAGAATAAAATGAGTCCAATGGAGGGGAATGAATATTGAGGAATTTATGTAGTTAACTCCAACTAGGTTGGAATTGATGTTTGTTGTTGACAAGATATAAACCAAATGTTACATTTTTCTATGCGGATCGTAATTACTTTGTACTCTAATGGCTCTACCAGTAAAACAATCTCAGGTGGATTGGTTAGAGCTGCTTGATTGGATTTCATGAGTTGTGTGATAAACTTCTCAAATCTTATCTTTGTCCAAGGAATATGCTAGGGATGAACCTCCCGTCATTGTACTATAGGATGAATTTTTCTCCAAAATTTGGTTGACCTATTGCAATTATATTTTATACCCATTGATATCTACTTCAATGAGACACGATTGTTAGCTTGCTTCATGACCTTGCAAGTACTAAGTGGCACTTCAAATGATTTCAGGGCATAATGAATCAATTGTATGATGTGATGTACGACTTCAACTTTTCTCTTCCTCCTGACTATGCTTTGGTGATACGAGCGCTTGGATCTCTTGAAGGAACAGCAAAAGCATTGGATCCAGATTTCAAAGTTGTTGAAAGTGCATATCCTTTTGTTATCGGAAGACTCTTGGTAGATCCAACTCCTGATATGAGGAGAATATTGAGAGAGCTTCTCATCCGTAATGATGGTTCTATGAGATGGAATCGTCTAGAGAGACTGGTACGTCATTTATTCTTTCTCTGTGTTGTTATACTTGTTTCTTGCAGGTAGCACAAGTGAGGCCTATTTCTTTCCTGAACAAGAACCTTTGACTATTTGTGAAAAGAAGGCCGTCTTAGCTCTTTTCCTGCTGGATTCAAAAATTACTATATGTGAATAGTTTATGTGAATTTTCTAGGTCTTCCTTTTAATATGATCTTAATTATTAGTATGATGTGATGAGTACTCGGTGGAAGTTGTCAGCTTTTCTGTTGTTGTTTTTGTTTGGTAAGATAAACAATAGAAAAACTATTCTCTCAAATGTGTCCAAATAGAAATCTCATTGGGCTACAATGCATTGTGCTATTAAAAGACAACCCTCTGAAGCTTGATCTTTTCTAATACTTCAGCATCTGTTGACACAGTGACTGATAACTGGGGATGGGTTGTTTAGGACTCCTGTATGTGAATTGTTAAAAATGTATCTTCCTGCAGATTGCAGCAATATCTCAGCAGGCTTCTGAAACAGAAGGAGAAACTCAGGAGAGTTACTCGGATCCATTGGGATCATTCGATATACGGGCTGTAGTCTCTGCAACAGAAGACCTTTTCCAATTTATTTTGTCAGACAAGGGTTCAAGAGTCCGTGTATTCCTTGTCAGAGACATAGTTAAAGCAGCTGATGTTTTCTATCAAGATGAATTTCTAAATAATCTTCTTGATGAGAAGCTTAGAGCGAGACGTTTATTTGGATATGAGGTATATTTCATCTTGTTATGCAAATCATGAGCAACAGTGCTTATTATCAAAACAATGGAAAAGTGCATTTTACTATTGTTGACATTCTACTCTGATCTTATAATCGCAATACTATTAGCTTGACGAAGCAATTTAACCGTCACCACTGAACTCCAAATATTCAGTCTAATATAAAACAAATTAAAGTAGATCCTACTAGTTCATTAATTATAAGCAAATATATCACCCTACTAGAAAAATTACTATCTTATTGTGATTCTATGTGGTATGATGTACTGATTATGAATGATTGCATGGGATGTCATTGTCACTTTCTCTATATCTCTTGAAATTCAGTTTCTTGCTTTGGTCAGCAGACAGATTGTGGTTTTCTTGTTTAATTTGGTGGCCACTTCGTAGTCTGCATCTTAAGTTCTTGGTTTGGTACTTTAGTTTCCTAGTGGCCCTTTTTGGTTTCAGGCATAGCAACGTTCATAAGAATCATTATTCATTCTCTTTTTCAGGAACATGGTATTCTAGTTAGGGTGGTGAGTGGGTTTCATTCCCTAGGACGTGCAGTGAAATTAGCTCCGGATTTGTGGTCAGCAATGCTGATTCGCTTGGTGGTGAAGCCAGAGTTCCAAAAATTTGCTTGCGACATAAGTTCAGCATTGATCAGTCACTTCAAGTATCACCTTCCAGTCAGCTTTTGGATGGGTATTTCTCGGCTACTGCATAGTGTGGTTGATAAAGACGAAGATGAAGTAATGTAGCAAGGTCGGTGCTCTCGTTTTTGTATCCGTGGTTACGCCTTGTTAGTGTATTTGTTTTCCAGCAGACGCATGGAACGAGCGTGTTTGAGTAGGGAATGATCATTAATTTCAGGATCCTAGAGAAATTTGCATATATTATGCCGTCAGAAGTAGGGATCATTAATTTCAGGATCCTAGATAAATTTGCATATATTATGCCGTCAGAAGTAGGATCAAGCACTCTGCTAGACAAAGCTGAGCGTCCCATTATACGAATGTCAATTTGTCTTACAGAACATTAGACAGGAATCAAGAGAGGAAAATACAGTATACGCTCCAAAAAGAGAATGGTCTTCAAACGAGCAGTTGACATTCTACAAAGGTCGCTTCCATTTTACTTGCACTTAATAGTATCAACTATTCAACATGGCAGAGTTCCGCCAAGGTTTCTGTGAAATGCCGCGAGTTCCAGAGAGTTTCCACCCTTTGGAGTTGGTTATAGCCTATAGCTTAATGATTAGCATAGTGATAAGACTCAAAACATTTTTGCCTATCTTGTTTATATTAAGTTTTTGTTGACGAACATTAGTAACATGAGGAAGTATTCAGAGCATTATACACTTCCCACAACATCCGATTTGGAACCTTTCTATTTCAAGTGAGGATGGTCTTGGTTCCACACAAAATCAAGTGATGGATGCCAAACACTTGTGCTGGTTTACTTCCATTATTTCCTTCAGCCATTGTGTTGTACCTATAGATTTGAAGTTCAATATTCTTTTACATGATTTATGCACCAAAATTTGTACTTTTTAACAAATGGAGAACACCTAGAGTGTTGCTAGTTCCAAAGAAAAGAGAAGGATGGAACCCGTGAACTACACTTTGGCATCATCTACTTCTGAGCCAGTGCATACACAGTCAATGAATTACAACTTTAGTAAAATTTGTTGCAATAAACTTCTACTATTGGCTATTCAAAACTTCCCTATAACTATTAGTTGCACATGTATCAAAATGCACTGACATTATAAAAAGAATTTTATAGAGGCACACTATGTATAAGTTAGATTTAGGAAAAAGATAATGTGATGTGATCAGGTGAAGGGGTCAAAAACACTTTGGATTGACAATTACAATGATGACGCTGTTAGAAAAATTAATAACTTGAAAACAAAGGAGTAACAAAGAAAGCTTGAGACATAAGAACGATTTTTCTTAAAGAAGATATTATTATTCGTATATAGATTTTGAAAGAATATTGAAACAACAAGTCAATAATAGATTCTTTATTTTTCATGTTTTTCGCAGGGAAACTATTGTTATATGGTGCCTAAGTCTAAGTTCAAATCTTTGATATTTAATATATATTAAATATTTTTACACGAATAAATGATACTCCTTTTTTCAATAAAATGAGTAAAATGTAGTAAGAATTTAAAAGATCATGGCTATCAAAAAAAAAACAGTAAGATGTAAATAAAGATAGAGGCTAGTTTGAAGAGAACATAATGATAACAAAGTTATGAAGTGGTCACAGGCTAGTTTAAATTAGTACGTGAATTTCTTAAATTGGATGGTGAACAAGAATTTGAAATATTCATGTCCATATCGAGTTGTTAGATTTTCTTCGAAAATTTTAATAGTTCAGTTGATTGAATATTTGAATCTTTACACTAAAAAGAAATTCACTTTTTCTCCTAGTAACCCTCTCTCGCAATTTCCTTTTTCTTTACCCCTATTTTTGAGAAAGAAGAAGTTGGATTCTCTTTTACAAAACATCTAAAGGAGAGACCAATAAGATGTATATTTGTATACGAAGCCTTAGCTAACCTACCCTTTTTTTAATATTGAAAATTAAGTTAACCTACCCTAATTACATTAAGATATATAAAATAAAATAAGCATAAAGTTTATCGTAATATCCATAATGTATACGATGATTATTAATTTGGAGTATTTTTTTGTTTTAAAAAATAATTACTAATTTTCATTAGTTAAATGGGGGGTTGGGGGGGGGGGGGGTGGCTTTCAAAAACACGAGTATACGACCTCTAGTTCCTTCTAAATAGCTTAGGATATATCATCTACTAAAATTCTTCTACACCATTATTGAATCCTAGAGGTAGGAGGATTTATGATTACAACATAATAATTAAGTATTTGTTTGGTCATAAAGAAAATCATGTATTTTGGAATAATTTTTCATTTTATTTATAATAAATTAGTGTTCGAATATGAATATTGTAAATCTATTTTGTTTTATTTAAAAACTAGTGTTTGATCATAATAAGTTGATAACTATGAAATATTTTTCATTTTTTTATTTCCTTCAACTCCCCAAAACTAAAGAAACAAATTAGTTCTTTTTTTTTCAAAAAAAAATAAAGATGAAGAAAAACAATGAAGGAAGGGGAGATTTGATGTTTATTTGTATTTTAGTGCAGTTAGGGGAAGGTGCTGGATAGGTTAAAATGTATTGAAAAAGATAAAATAGAGAGATTTCCAGAAAAAGTCACATGTTTATACATACATATATGATTCTTAGCCATTGGTCTCTTGATAAAAAAAAAAAAACTAACGAAAAGATGAATATTACAATTTTGACATAGATAAGGAATGTTTTTTATTCACTATTATAGCACAAAAATGTAATCTAAGTTTCACTCATAGTTTAAAAAATATTTTTAGCCAAAAAATCGGAAATAAAGCATCAAGGGTTTATGTCTTTAATATAAAGGATCGAATATATATTTTTTAAGGGAAACAAGTAAATTTTCATATTTTTTTTTGCATATAGTAAGTAGGCAGAAAATATTTAAATATATAATGTGATAAACTCACCAACTTTATGGGTAGGTGATGGTGGGTTTAGGGTGAATACGAATTTAACGTGGTACAAGTGAACATGGGGTGAAAATGTTTATGTGGAGCAGAATGAGTTAAAATTGTGACTTATATAAGTATTTTTTAAATAGCTTATAAATATATAAATTTTATTTCAAAAAATTGAAGATACAAATTTTTTATTAAATTTAAATTGTTTGATTCTCAAAAACGAAAAATCTAACATAAATTCAGAAAGGCGAAATGGTCCAATGAACCTTTGTACTTGTATGAGTTTGTATTCTAGACCCTTTTACTTAATCTTTTGTCAACTGAACCCTTAAACTCAATTAAAATGAAACATTTGAACCCCTCCAATCATGCGTATAACTCACTCACCCTAACATAAATGACATGTCATATCCACATCATATATGTTAATGTCATGTCATAATTAGTTCTATTACTTTAAAATATGACTCAAATAAAAGATAAAAAATAATAAGTTTAGTATTTAAAAAATAAAATAAAATAGTTATTTCTTTTGCTTTTCCTCCATCACCCTTAAACCACGACTATCAAACACAGATAAAGAAAATGGAAAACCCAAAATTAATCTCTCAATGATCTAGTGAGACATAAGAATTTTTTTCATTCATAGTTTCAGCCCAACATGCTTAAGCTGGACAAATTCGACAGATTTCCGCTTCTATAAGCTTACTTGAACACTCTTAAACTTACTTGAACACTCTTAATTGTTATGGTGCTATATAAACTAACAAAAATTATCCCCTATCCTAATTCTTTTCTTCTTCGAAAAATAACTATAAAGATTAGAAACAATGTTTTCTTAATGTTGGGTCTTATGGCAGATTTTTGTGACCCAAAGAAGAAGACCACGCACAATCAAACCCAAATCTCAACATAAGAAAAAGAAATCTATCGACAAAATAGGCGGAGCAAGCCATCGGAGCAAAATCGCCACCGAAGCGAAATTATCGCATAACTACCATGGAAGATCCGTAGCCACCGGAGCAAAATTAGTCTTCTTGTTCAACATCTTAAACTTCTATTAACACTGCTAAAACTCACAATACACTTAATCATTAACGGAGGTTCAATGGACAGAATGGACGAAGATGCAAAACGGTGTCTCGAGGGACGGCGAGATCTGTATCGTCTGAGAACGCCGGAAACAAAGGGAGAAGAAAAGGGAGGATTAAGAACTTTAATTTGTTTTTTCCTTTTTCTTTTCTTTTTATTATTTAATTATTTTAAAGCAAATTCATTGCTTTCACTCGCCTTTTTAACCGTGATATCACGCATTATAATTGAGTCAGTAAAATAAATGTCACATAAGTTTGATCAATGGTCAGAGAGTTTAAAAATCTCATTTGAATTGAGTATAAGAGTTCAGTTGACAAAAGATTAAGTAGAAGAGTCTAGAATACAAATTCATACAAGTATAAGAGTTCATCAGATCATTTCGTCATTCAGAAACAGAGAGTATTTGATATCCTATGAGGAGTCATTGTCCATTAGCCACGTGTCCCATTAATTACATTTACACTGTAGTCAAGAATGACTACGCAAACTACTACTACGTCACCAACGATTCTCTTCACTTCCCGTCCGTTAACCACCTCTTTCTTCGCCCCTGTTATTCCATCAAATTACAACTTTATCCTAATTCATTTTATTGCTTATTTAATTTTATATTAGTCAGACACTTTTTCTTCTTTATAAACATTTATAAGAAATTATAAATTAAAAAATATTCTAACTAATTTATCGTTTAATTTTTTTTATTTTACAATTTTAATTACACTTAAAAATAATAATTAATTATAAATATAAAATAATAAAAAATTGAATAATTTTATCATAAATTTGAAATAATTATTTTTATATATAAATATAATTAATATAAGACGGAGGAAGTATGTAAAAGCGCAAAATGTTAACGTCAAAAGACAAATGTGTGCATTAATAACATGTCTTTTCGTGCTGATCTGAGGCTATTTTGTGTTTGAATATATTCTTAATTTTTTTTTATTAGACAACACCTTAATTTCAATATTGGAGACTCTAATAGAAAATGAAAGTTGAGAACTTCTATAAAAGAAAATTATTGAAAAGAACTAAATTTATTCAATCATCAAGGATTTTGCGTAATGGTGACTGGAAAGGGACAAGAATGCCCCAAAATAA